TCAATACATCTGTGTCTCTTTTGCTGTCTCGCATACAGGGTTATCGTTACCATCTTTCTAAATTCCATATATGTGCGTTAGTATACTATATTGGTGTTTTACTTTCTGGCTTGCTTCACTCTGTACAATAGGCTCCAGTTTCATCCACCTCATTAGAACTGATTCAAATGTATTCTTTTTAATGTCTGAGTAATATCCCATTGTGTATATGTACCACAGCTTTCCTATCCACTTATCTGCTGATGGGCATCTATGTTGCTTCCATGTCCTGGCTATTACAGTGCCGCGATGAATGTTAGAGTACACGTGTCTCCTTCAATTCTGATTTCCTCAGTATGTATGCCCAGCAGTGGGATTCCTGGGTCATTTATTTATCTTAGGCTGCCCTGAGCTTTCACTGCTGTACCGGCTTTCTCCAGCTGCAGTGAGTGGGGGCTACTCTTCATTGTGATGCACAGGCATCTCATTTCAGTGACTTCTCTTGTGGAGCACAGGCCCTAGGGCTTGCAGGCTTCAGCAGCTGCAGCACACAGGCTCTGTAGTTATGGCTTGTGGGTTGTAGAGCACAGACTCAGTAGTTGTGGTGCTTGGACTTAGTTGCTCCTTGGCCTGTGTAATCTTCCTGGACCAGGTAATCAAACCAGTGTCTCCTGCATTGACAGATTCTTATCCACTGTACCACCAGGGAATTCCTCTTTCTCTGTTTCTTTACCTATTCTCAATGTTTCCTATAAATGAAATGATTTAAAATGTGGCTTTTTGTGTCTGTCCACATATTTTAAGAAGTAACTGGTTGATTTTTATTTTTATTTTTATCTGAAATAGCATTTTTGTTACTTGAAAGAGGAGTTCAGATGCATTACAGATGAGATATACAAAATGAGATTTTAAACATAGGAAATATGAGCATAAAATTGGGATACACACTGCTGTTCTAAGTGTGACACCAAATGATATGATGCATATACTCCTATAAAAGGAAACTCATGTGACTACAGAAGGGATGGAACAGAAACAGCCTCACAAGCATAGAGAACAGACTTATGGTTGCCAAGAAGTAGGAGCGGGGTGAGAGTCGAATTGGGAGTTTGGGACTAGCAGATGCAGATTATAAAGAGAATAGATAACAACAAAGTCCTATTGTGCAGCACAAGGAACAATATTCAATATCCTATGATAAATGATAATGGAAAAAATGTGTAGGGAGATGCTCAAACTCACTAGTTATTAATGTCATAATTTAAAACAGCAAAGAGATGACACTCCACACGTTATAGATGACCATACATTAGTTGGCAAGTATTTTGTGATAAAGAAACCCACAAGGATTACAGTGAAAGCTGCAACCTCTCCAGTGAAAGTGAAAGTCACTCAGTCATGTCTGACTCTTTGTGACCCCATGGACTATACAGACCATGGAATTCTTGAGGCCAGAATACTGGAGTAGCTTTTCCCTTCTCCTGGGGATTTTCCCAACCCAGGAATCAAACTCAGGTCTCCCGCACTGCAGGCAGATTCTTTACCAGCTAAGCCACCAGCAACCTCTCCAAGGCATGAGTATTTGATCAAACTATGCCTACACATAACTATGTCCCAGATACTCTTCATCTGGGTAAAATTCTCAAAAATATTGCAATATAAGTTCTTGAGGAAATATGTATTAAATGTTTATTGCAGACAACCCTGTTCAACTGGAGCTGCAGACCAACAGTGCTAATTCAGACATGGATCGGTGAAATCCAGCCACTCCAGAGCCTGAAAAACAAGTGAGAAAACCTTCTGCTGCCCAGGAGAAGAAAACCACCACACTCTAGCAAAACCACTGCTAAGTTATCCACTAGCACCATAATAACTCAGGAGGAGCTAGCTGAAATAACCCTTGATTCTCCCCCTCCTAACTGCCATGCTGGGCCAATGGAGACTATCCACTCCGGGAACTTGGGAGTGTACAAGCCATAAATAGTAACTACATCCTCATGCTCCCCCTCCTAAGTTACCCTTCGAGGGGGGAGGGGTGACCATGCTACATTCCTTTGCTCTATACTAAACCCTCTAACTTTTTATTTTATCGTTGTTCTGTACAGTCTTTTCCTTTGCTTTTTTTTTCTTTTTCCATCTCTGTTATGCACAGGAAGTGGTCCAAACTTGACTTGGCTTCATCCAAATCCCTAGTACCAACTCAGAGAATAGTATGGTCTTCCTGGGCTCTAATGTTAAGTTCTGATGTTATAGTGCAAACAGTGGACGTTATAAATTCACAGAAGCCCTTGAGTAACTGATGTGCACAGCCCTTGCCTCCCATTTAAGGGCTTCCTCTTGCCTGGCTCCCATGAAACCAGACTACTCCTGTGCCAATTCTGCTTGTGTTGACACAGAAAGGGAGAGGGCTTCCATTTAGTAACAGAGAAACCTAAGGAATGTTGTCCCCAAATTTTTTAAAAATATTTATTATTGTTTATTTATTTGGCTGCACTGGGTCTCAGCTGCAGCATGCAAGATCTTCAGCCTTTGTTTTGTGACTTTCCAGATCTTTAGTTAGAGAATGTGGGAACTAGTTCCGTGATCAGGGATTGAACCCAGGCTGCCTGCATTGGGATTGCTGAGTCTCGGCCACTAGACCTTAGAATTTCTAAGCTGAAATGGATTTTAGAAACCATTTGTTTTTCCCAGAGTTTTTTTAAGCGAGAAACCCAAGGGAATTATTCACAAAATTACAGTGACACAGAAAGTTCTTGTGGCATCATCAGCTGTCACAATACCTCTAGCAATCATTCATTTCTGTTTCTGCTTTATTGACCTATGCCAAAGCCTTTGACTGTGTGGATCACAATAAACTGTGGAAAATTCTGAAAGATATGGGACTATCAGACCCCTTGACCTGCCTCTTGAGAAACCTGTATGCAGATCAGGAAGCAACAGTTAGAACCGGATATGGAACAGCTGACTGGTTCCAAATAGGAAAATGAGTACATCAAGGCTGTATATTGTCAGCCTGCTTATTTAACTTATAGGCAGAGTACATCATGAGAAACACTGGGCTGGATGAAGCACAAACTGGAACCAAGATTGCCAGGAGAAATATCAATACCTCAGATATGCAGATGACACCGCCCTTATGGCAGAAACTAAAGAAGAACTAAAGAGCCTCTTGATGAAAGTGAAAAAGGAGAGTGAAAAAGTTGACTTAAAGCTCAACATTCAGAAAACTAAGATCATGGTCCCATCACTTTATGGCAAATAGATGGAGAAACAGTGGAAACAGTGGCTGACTTCATTTTTGGGGGCTCCAAAATCACTGCAGGTGGTGATCACAGCCATGAAATTAAAAGACGCTTACTCCCTGGAAGGAAAGTTATGACCAACCTAGACAGCATATTAAAAAGCAGAGACATTACTTTGTCAACAAAGCTCCATCTAGTCAAGGTTATGGTTTTTCCAGTAGCCCTGTATGGATGTGAGAGTTGGACTATAAAGAAAGCTGAGCACCGAAGAATTGATGCTTTTGAACTGTGGTGTTGGAGAAGACTCGAGAGTCCCTCGGACTGCAAGGAGATCCAACCAGTCCATCCTAAAGATCAGTCTTGGTTGTTCATTGAAAGGACTGATGTTGAAGCTGAAACTCCAATACTTGGCCACCTGATGGGAAAAGCTGACTCATTGGAAAAGACCCTGATGCTGGGAAAGATTGAGGGCAGGAGGAGAAGGGGATAACAGAGGGTGAAATGGCTGGATGGCATCACCGACTCAATGGACATGAATTTGGGTGAACTCCGGGAGTTGGTGATGGGTGGGGAGGCCTGGCGTGCTGCAATTCATGGGGTCGCAAAGAGTTGGACACGACTGAGTGACTGAACTGAACTGACTTGATGCCTTCCTGAGACTGTAACTGAAGCAAATAATGAGATGTGTGAGTTTGGTGGCAGGAATGGTCATTCAATCCTGCCCTCCCACATACAACTGTGAACAGGGATTATTCTTAAAACCTTGTAGATTTGGGGAAAAGCATTTTGTCCCATAATTAGCGAAGGAACAGCATGCAGTACCCCTGGGAGATGTGTCACATTGTGTTCAAATTCAGACTAAAATTGTATGATGAATACTAAGTTATTTCCTGAGAGTTTGTTTTCTTAAGTGTAAGAGAAAGATGTCCTGTTCACTCCTTGCCAGGGCCTATATGTCCCTAAACAGATTATGGCAGCTTCATTTGGGAGCTGCTAGTCTATGAGACAAGACAAATATGGTCTGAATGCCAAAAGCCCCAGAGGTAAGAGGAGGGAATTAGAAGATATTGACACTTCTCTAACCTCTCTAATGATCCTCATGACACTTTATCTTGTATTATGTTGTCGTTGTTGTTGCTGTTCGGTCACTAAGTCATGTCTGACTCTTTGTGACCCCATACTGCAGCCCACCATCTCCCAGGGTTTGCCCAAGTCCATGTCCATTGAATCTTGTATTATAATTATTTATTAATGTTTGTATTATACTAGTTGTGGCAAGAGATGCTTTTAGTCAACTTTAGATCCCCTCCATAGTTCTTTGAATTATGCTAGGTGATCAATAAAACTCTGCTGAATTGATTTAATACAGAAAGTAATCTCCATATTTGAGTTCTTATAAGTTCAATCTATCTCCTCTTTAGTAAAGATGAAGGTGTCTTTGACGCATGGCCAGGTCTACCTACTCACCCTATTTCCTCCCTCTCCCACCAGGAAGAAAATACAGCCAGTCACTCAAAATCAGGCCTTTTATTCAGGACAGAAGTGGAATGCACTGTTGTATTAAAAGTGCCATCAAGGGCACTGAGCAAGAGTCAAAAGTCCAGAGCACCATTCATGCATCCCTGGAGATTAGTCCTTACATGTCTATTGTCACTACAGGGCCCAAGGCTCAGAGATGAGTTAGCTTCAAGAGGGTACAAAGAAGAAAAACGAGGTAGCCATGGGGCAGAGGAGTTCCAGGAACAGAAAGAGGGCAGAAGCAGCAAAGACAGCAGGTGTTCACAACTTCTCACAGAGCCACTGATCCAGCTTCTCAGAACAGAGTGCTTTATGGGCCAACCTGATCATGAAGAAGGAGACAAGGCAAGTTGACTGACAGGATCTTGGTTAGATTTACAAATAGCTTTATCCCCAGGAAGGCTGAGGTGGAAGATTGTGAGTCAAAATTACAGACAGACTTTCCTAGCCACATGGCTAGAGGCACTGAGCCACTTAGTGGAATAAGGTCCATTTTTTAAAACTCCAAGAAAATTGTGGGGCAGTGGAATAAAAGGCGTGCCTTAGGATGTAGGACTGAACAAGCAGAATTAGATGCTCAAGTCCTGGTGAAGGAAATCCTGCATCTCAGCCCTCTATTAGGGAATCTTAGGTAGAAAAATTGCTAACGGGAGTGAAGTAAGTGAAGCTTCAAAATTGGAAACCTGAGTCTACTTGATGATTTTTGTTTTGAAGATTACATTCTAGTTTAAAAGACCAGGAAATAGAAAGGGGTATAGTGCTGGGGTGAAAGGACTGAGAAGAAAGAGGGGAAAGATTAAGTAGAAAACAGAAAGGTGACTCACCAGTAGTTAATTCCTACTTTATCCAGAATCTTCTTGACACACATAATGTCATCAGTAAGGTCATTATCCAGGAACTCTGGCAGGAGTTATAGGTGGAAAAAATGAGAGAACTAAGTATTACCCAGAAAGGTAATGAATTTCCCTCTTCTCTGGTTTTCTCTGAACTAGAGGCTTATGTGAGAAATCTAATACAGTAATGCCTAGCCCTAAGTAAGGACTCCCTTCGCTTCTCTGGGGCAGCGCCTTAGGAATTATCAACTTCATCAACCAACTTAGTCTGAAAATACATCAAGATCCCCAAACAGCTCAGGTCACCTACCCATGAACTTTAAGAAACTGTCTGGGAATTTGATGTTACTGAAAAATTCTAAGAGCCTCTTACTTGGTATTGTCAAGTCCCACAGTTAATTTGGAGTCCAAGGCAGTGAAGCCAGAAGTGTTTCAGAAAAACACAGGAACAGGGTAAAAAGAAGTCACTCACTGTCGCAGGAGATGTTACAGATGTTCCTTGAGTGAGGGTTCTGATCGTCTTTGCACCAAATTTTATTATTGATCTGGAAGAGTCCATATTCTGTGCTGTCATTGTTTTGTACTATGGCTTGTGTGTCATAACCACTGGTATGAAATGTGGTACAGACCCCTGAAAGAAAGAGGAAAAAGAGATTTCACAAGGATGTTCATGTATAGCATAAATGAGGACCTGTATTCCCAGACAGAAAAAGGCTCTCCAACCAATCTCCAAATATGGCAGACCACAGAGTATCTCTTGATAAGGTGAAAAGAGTTCCAAAGGATCAGACAATGGGGAAAATGAGAGATAGATAAATAAATGTGATAAAAGAGTAAACAAATAAGAGAATTGTTCAATAATCAAATTAAAAGTAGAGGGGAAGAAAGAGGATGAAGAGAATGGAGGGAAAGAGTGAAGAAGATGAATTATGTGACAAAGCAAAATAGCAGTGTACTCACATTCAGGCAAACTGACACCTCCATAGTCCTTCAAGTCTTTCAGCTCCTGGAACACCTCACATTTTGTTAATTGTTCAGCCTGGGTGGCATGGAATAGGATGCCCACCAGGAGCAGAGAGACAAAGGACATCATTTTGGTTACCCCCCAAGATCCTGAAATGGGGTCACCACACTGCTCACCTCCTTTTATTTGTGGAAAAAGCCTCAGGGGCCCTGGCATCAAGCCTTATATCCAGGAAGAGGATGACAAGAGAGGCCAGCCAAACCAACAAAGAAACATTGAGCCTGCTAGCTTCCTTTAGTAATTTCACCCCACTTTTTCTTTCCTCCCCAGAATCTCTAGTCCATATTAGGTATTGTTACCTGCCCAAAGAGTGTTACAAACATGATCCTGTTTCCCATTTGGCTTTATTTATATGTTTGTTTCTGGTAGTGTTGGTTCTAGGAAGGAAGATGTGCCCAGCCTACTTCAGGAACAAAGGGGGCCTCAGGGGTAATACAAGTGAAGCAATCAGAAAATGCACAAAGGGTCCATGGCCAAGTCCTCCTTCCCCTTAGAGACACACAGAATATGGGAAAGGAGTATACATCATCATATGTCATGGTCCCAGGATTAGAACTGACACTGGCCCACTCAACCCAGGCATGAAACAAAAGAAGTGTCTCTTGATATCTTGGTTCCTTGTTGAGTGGTCAGGAATAGAAATAGAATATGACAACAGAGACTGAGAATCATATATAACTTGGATCCAGAGACTTTCTATTTCACAAAAATGGAGAACTTGAAAAGTGTGTTTCACAGTATCTAGCTACCCTCTGAGCTGCCATCAGCCTCCCCATCCCCAACCACCAATACCACTCAATATCCAGATACCACATTGTAAATCTAAAACAAATGTATTCATAAATACAAAAACTTGTGGACAGCGTTAGACTTGGCCACAGAAGGTTAAAAAAGAGTGACCCAATCTTTTTGGGAAAGGTGGGAAACCTGGACTTTAAGCACTTTAATATTGGAGTAGTATACACCTGGTGAAGAATCTACCTGCAATGCAGGAGACTCCAGTTCAATTCCTGAGATGGGAAGATCCCCTGGAGAAGGAATAGGCTACCTACTCCAGTATTCTTGGGCTTCCCTGGTGGCTCAGATGGTAAAGAATTTTTCTGTAATGCAGGAGACCTGGGTTCAATCCCTGGGCTGGGGAGATCCCCTGGAGGAGGGCATGGCAACCCACTCCAGTATTATTGCCTGGAGAATCCCCATGAACAGAGGAGCCTGGTGGGCTACAGTTCATGGGGTCACAAAGAATCAGACACAACTGAGCAACTAAGTACAGCACAGCACAGTGTACACCTAGAGCCTATAAAACAAGGTTCTGAACCCGAGCTTTAAGATCAGTGTCCTGAAGCAAGTAGACTTTAGGATACTAGTTCTGAATGGTTCCTTCGACTTTCTGGCATCAAGCTTCATGCTATGGTACCAATAGCTGTTAGCTTCTTGTATGCCAGGGCTCATTCTCTCTGCCTCAGTCTCTAAAACCTGATTTCTTATATTGCAGAGGGTACCCATCCTAAGTAAATAATTTAAGACTTCCAAACTGAAGGTATTCTAAACTTTTATATCCTACAACTCTTCAGAATCAGGGCAAACTCTTCTTCTGTTTTATCCTATATTCTATACCATGGATTATCACTATCAGTTCAGTTCAGTTCATTCGCTCAGTAGTGTCCTACTCTTTGCAGCCCCATGGACTACAGCACACCAGGCTTCCCTGCCCATTACCAACTCCCAGAGCTTGTCCATTGAGTTGGTGATGCCATCCAACTCTCCCATCCTCTGTCATCCCTTCTCCTCCTGCCTTCAATCTTTCCCAGCATCAGGGTCTTTTCCAATGAGTCAGTTCTTCGCATCAGGTGGCCAAAATATTGGAGTTTCAACTTCAGCATCAGTCCTTCCAATGAATATTCAGGACTGATTTCCTTTAGGATGTACTGGTTGGATCTCCCTGCAGTGCAAGGGACTCTCAAGAGTCTTCTCCAACACCACAGTTCAAAAGCATCAATTCTTCAGCACTCAGCTTTCTTTATAGTCCAACTCTCACATCCATACATGACTACTGGAAAAACCATAGCTTTGACTAGACAGACCTTTGTTGGCAATGTTTCTGCTTTTTAATATGCTGTCTAGGCTGGTCATAGCTTTTCTTCCAAGGAACAAGCATCTTTTAATTTCATGGCTGCGGTCATCATCTGAAGTGATTTTGGAGCCCAAGAAAATAAAGTCTCTCACTGTTTCCATTGTTTCCCCATCTATTTGCCATGGAGTCATGGAACCAGATGTCATGATCTTAGTTATCCAAATGTTGAGTTTTAAGCCAGCTTTTTCACTCTCCTCTTTTACTTTCATCTAGAGGCTCTTCAGTTCCTCTTCCCTTTCTGCCATAAGGGTGGTGTCCTCTGCATATCTGAGGTTATTGATATTTCTCCCGGCAATCTTGATTCCAGCTTGTGCTTCTCCCAGCCTGGCATTTAACATGATGTACTCTGCATTATCACTATATGAAGTACTGAAACTAAACAGGACCCCCTGGGGCTTCTGAAAATAGAAGTCTTTTCATGTCCCCCATTTCTTGTTTGTAGGGAATAGACTCCAGCCTCTATGACCTTACTTGAATTCCAAAGGGTAGATTCAAAAAATTGCTAACCAGGGAAAGGTGGAGATGCAGAGACAGGGAGGAGCAGCCAAGAAACAGTAGCACAGCCTTGGGGCAGGGTCCCAGTTTCACCTTAAGGGATACACATGACAATATCTTTGAGCTCTTTACAGAATTAAAACCTCCAACAAATGGAAGATGCTAGCATTCATTTCAGAGAAATCTACCTGAGGCCAGATTAAAGGAGTGAAGACCCTGAACACATCCTACTCTTATCAGCAACCCTGCCCTTGAACCATTGCCAAAAAACTCCTCATCAAATCTTCCCAGGTTGGGACACACAGTTTTGAGGGGCATGAGACCATTGTGTTCCCCTTTGCTTTGAAAAGCCATACAGCTATTATCTTTTACTTCACCCAAAACTCTGTCTCCAAGATTCAATTCAGTGCACACAGACCAAGTTTTTGGCGTCAGCACCATGAGTGAAATGAGTGTAGAAGATCTTAGTGTTTCAAGAGCGATGAGCAGAAAGTCCTAATATCAAAGATATGTGTTTAGAAACACTGCTGAAGTGCTTCCACTGCATTTCTCCTCCATTCCATTCAGAGGCATTGGAATAGTACATGTAGAACAGGAATAGAAATTCTATCACCCTAAGCAAGTATGATTGAAAATATGGCTGGGAGTGAGAAGATGACCTTGAACCGTGTGGAAGAAGGATAGATGAGAAAATCTAGTCCTAAAGATTAGTCTTTCCAATAGAGGCGCCTGGTGTAAAATGTCTCCTGCCCAGGGCTGTGGACTAAGTACCTGGAATAGAATAAAATGATGGGCCAGGATGTCATGAATCACAGGGACTTTCTTACACTTCCAGCCAAGTCAAGGTTTATGGCAGTAGCCTGTTTGCCTACAATTTGGTACTATCTCTGCCCTTCCAAGAAGCAGTATATTAGGCAAGGAATCACAACTAAATGCAAAAAAAAGAAACATACCTCAGGCAAGAGGAACCATTATTTCCTTAGAAATGTTTATAAAATAGCATATCTGGGGTTGTCTGATAAAGAAGATAGATATCTATTGGAAACAATAACAAACTTTTCAGAGAAAGATGTCAGTTCTTAGAGATGAATCAAAGAAGAACAAACAACAATCTCAGCACTGAGGAAGTGTATGGGAAGACATGAGCATTGCTGATGAAGGAAAGCCCCTGCCAAAATCTCTCCAGAGACACAGGGTGCTCTCTATGCAGGCCAAGATCTGGCTCAAGGAAGTGAAGAGACATTTACAAGATGCTGGATTTTTCAGAAATATGCTAGGAAGCTATGCTTTTGAGGGTAAAATTTTGATGGTAAAAATCAAAGTTTCAAACATGTATATTATCTAGGGTGAAACAGATCACCAGCCCAGGTTGGGTGCATGAGACAAGTGCTCGGGCCTGGGGCACCGGGAAGACCCAGAGGGATCGGGTGGAGAGGGAGGTGGGAGGGGGGACTGGGATGGGGAATACATGTAAATCCATGGCTAATTCATTTCAATGTATGACAAAAACCACTGCAATGATGTAAAGTAATTAGCCTCCAACTAATAAAAATAAATGAAAAAAAAAAATAATAAAGTAGTGAGCTGAAAAAAAAAAAAATCAAAGTTTCTCAAACCAGTCCTATGGAGGACTTCCTGAGATTGAGGAATCAGAAGCACCTTCTTCAAAACACATTTGGCAGCAGTCATCTGACACTGTAGTTTACAGATGACTAGTAATTGATAGAGACCTCAGCCACCACTTGGAGGGAACATCCTGAGAGCCACAATAATATTGACCGTTACTCCTTACAGTTACAATTACAGACCATTACTCCTTACTCCTTACAGGGGCTTCCCTGGTGGCCCAAACAGTAAAGACTCTGCCTGCTATGCAGGAGACCCACGTTCGATCCCTGGGTGGGGAAGATCCCCTGGAGAAGGGAATGGCAACCCACTCTAGTATTCTTGCCTGGAGAATTCTATGGACAGAGGAGCCTTGCGAGCTATTGTCCTTGGGGTTGCAAAAAGTCAGACATGACTGAGTGACTAACACACACACCTTACCGTTAATATCCTCACTTTTTTCTGCTTCCTCCTATAATTAAGGTAAGTCATCACTAGGTGAAAAATAAAGTTAGAGCTTAGAATTGAAACCCAAATTTAGACAAATTCTTAAATGAATTAGTTATTTAAAGCAAATAAAATTTGGGGAGTGAGTGCTTTTTCTGACTTATTTACTTTAGCATAATCAAGTTCCATCCATATTGTTGGACTGGCAGGACTTCTTGATTTTTAAAGTTGAATAATATCTCTTTGTGTACCTGATGCTATATCAACATTATATTTTTATTCTAATAAGCTATGTAGTTTATATTCTGAAAACTGTTTCTAAAATAAGTTTCCTTTACATGTGTTCCCCATCCTGAACCCCCCTTCCACCTCCCTCCCCGTCCCATCC